TGGATGAAAAAAGCCTAGTGAATCTTAGCCTAGAGTATCTTATATTATTTCTAAATTAATTAATATGACCATATACATATTATGGTTATTTATAATTTAACCACCGAAATGGTAACAATAAATAAATTTCTAAATATTATTTTAAAATTATCTCTTACCCTTTCATTTCTCCATTCAACAGCAGTTAAATTCCTTTGAACAATGAATGATATATTTTCGTTTACAAGATTTATTCCAACTTGTCCTCTATTTCCTTCCTTATCGGGCATTATAACAAAAATAATTGCTTTCTCAAAAACTTTCCCCAATTTATATTTTTTATTTGTAAAACGTTTTTCACAATGTTTTTCTTGATTTGTGTTTAAATTATTTTTAAAGGGTATTTCGGCAGTTATTGGTGTTGTGAACTGAAAAATTATTAATATTTTATTTTCTTAAATCTGTTATCTTTATCAGAAAAACTGAGGATACGAATAAATATAATTTTTGGTTATACATATTTTATTTTTTAATTCTAAAAACATTTTTATAATATTGGGATTTAATTCATTCATAACTTTCATTAAATCTTCAATTCTTTTTAATTTGAAATTAATTTTTCAAAAAAATTTACCCTAGCTTGTAAAGCACAAGAACATCCTCTATAAACAAATAAATGAATATATCTTTGTGCTCTAATTGGCAATAAATCCATTCCAAGTGCCCACAAACCAATATATTTATATAAATAAGCACCTTTATTTATATTTAAAAGAAATTCTTTTTGAAGATTTTCTTCTTTCTTTTCAATTTCTTTGCCTTAATTTTATTTAGTAATTTTAAATTAATCAATTAGAAATTAATTTTTTAAATTTAACATTTCCGGGCCTGTACAAGTTTTATACAGGCCTATTACTTCAGTGCAGGGTGGCCCTTTTGCCCTATTTACAGGGCATTTGCCCTATTTTCGACCTTTCCGCCCTATTTTTTCCCTATTTTTATATTTGCCATATTTTTGCCCTATTTTTACCATTTTGTAAAATTTTTAAAAATTTAGAATTTCGTAGCAGAAAAAGGAAGAAATCTGGTTCTTGGCCTAACAAAATTCTCAAAATTTTCGCCTGCGGCGCAAAAAAAGGAAGAAATCTGGTTCTTGGCCTAACAAAATTCTCAAAATTTTCGCCTGCGGCGCAAAAAAAGGAAGATCTGTGAAGACTTTGTGTGAAATTGAGGGATTGGAAGTGCTTGAGTGGAATATAGGCGGATTTTACTATAGAAGATTTAGAGGATTTACTAGGATTATGGGGGATCAGACTGGATAACGAGCGATTTGTATTGATAAAGCGAGATATCATTGAGAGATATCAATGGATTTGAGAGATTAATGGTGTATACTCGATAACTCTTTTAACCCACAAATCCATTCATAATTGCACCCAACCTCTCTAAATCTCTCTATTTGCTCAATTTAGTTACATCTAGTGAAAAATATATAGAATAAAGCTTTTTACTTGAAATTTTAATTATTTTTAAGATTTTTAATTAATGCCCTATTTTTTGCCCTATTTTTGGTCGATTTCGCCCTATTTTTGCCCTATATTTGAGTGGCTGCGCCCTATTTTAGTGTTTCGGAAAGGGCCACCCTGCTTCAGTGTTTTGAAATTTATTTTCTAGTCCTTACCTTCATTTCCAGCATTTAATAAACGAGTGAATATGTTGTCGTTTTGGCCAAATTCGAGAGCAAACGAATTCACTGACATGAATTTGTATCTAAAATTTGGCAAAAGTCATAAATTGAAAAATAAATTCTCCTCCTTAAAAACAATATTAAATTATCTTGACCTCACTACTTCGAAAAAGGATTTAGTATTACACATGATTATTAGGGTTTCACCGGAACCGAAATTATGACCGGAACCGGAACCGGAACCGGATCCAATTTGAGTTCCGGTTCCCGGAACCGGAACCGGAACTTTTCAAAGTTCCGGCCCGGAACCGGAACCGGAACCGGAACTTTAAAAAAATTTCTAGCGAATTTAAAAAATTTAAAAAAAATTAAAAGAAATTTGAATTCAAAGTAGGTTTGTCGGTTTAGCCCAATTATTTTGTTAACCGAAACGACTAACCGAATCGAAACTTTCGGTTAACCAAAATCGAACCGTAAAACCAAACCGTTCTACCCAAATCCAATGATATGCCCGATACCACACCAATTATATGATTCCCCTTTGATCCCCAAATTTCTTCAAATTATCATTCATCCCAACAGATCCCTAGATATCAAATCACCGATATACCATTTTAACTCTTGGTACACGAAATCACCCAGTATCTTCCAAATCCCCATTAATCCATGCAAATTATCAAAAATAACCTATTCTTCCTTCCTTTTAGCGCCGCAGGCGAAAATTTTGTGAATTTCGGAAGGCCAAGTGAGAAATGCCAAGTTTTGGGAGGCAAATTCCCAGCTATCCTATCCCTGTTATTTACCTTGCACAGCTTAATCCCTCAATATTTCACCCAGATCCCTCGGTATTACCTATGACCCCTTGAAAGCACATGCTGTAACTTAAAATACACCTTCATCCATCCAGATCCTCCGATATAAACTTCATTTAACAGCGCCGCAGGCGAAAATTTTGAGAATTTGTGAGAATAAGGGCTAAATTTCTTCCTTTTCTTGCGCCGCAGGCGAAAATTTTGAGAATATTGTAACGCCAGCCGGGGAAGACCAACCCATATTTTTAAAAAAATCAATCTTTAGGGGTGTAAAAAAGTTCCGGTTTGCCCGGAACCGATTTGAAAACCGGAGCCGGAACCGGAACCGGAACCAATTTAAGTTCCGGTTCCCGGAACCGGAACCGGAACCAAAAAAAGGCCGGAACTTTCCGGAACCGGAACCGGAACTTCCGGTGAAACCCTAATGATTATGTATTTTTTATCGCACAAAAATCCTTTATTTTATGTACCTATTTGATTTATTTTCTTTATTTCCCAATATTTAAATAAAAACCATATTTTATAAATTCATGTAACTTTTAAAAATTATTTTCTTCCCTATATTTTTAATTAATTATTTAAAATATCTATTTAAAAAATCCAAACATTTTGTTCGAAATAGACAATAAAATATTAACAAAAATATTTCCATCATTGTGTTCTGTTTTGACAAGTATTCCATGCCATCGGGAATTGCCAATATTTCCAGGAGAACAAATTTTACTTTTTTGATTATGACAATAATCAAAACGTTTCTGTTCACATTTCTCGGTGATTTTATTCTTTTTTTATGATAAATATATTATTTTAAATTCTATTAATATATATAACAGGGATCTAGCCTATATAAAAAATAAATCATCGGGATCTGATGCACATCCCGATCCCGGATTCAGGCTCGGGATTAGGATTGGCCGGGATCGGCCAATCCTAATCCCGGATCAGAAAAAACGGATCAGAAAAAACGGGATCGGGATTCGAAAACCCCGGGATAATCCCGCCCGATCCCGACCGGTATCCCGATCCCGCTAAACTCTAAGTTAAACTGTTTAAAATAAAATCTTTTTAAGAGAATTTAAATTTTAATAAATATTTAATTATTTAAAATTAAATTACTTTTTTGCTCCCTAAACGATAAGGAATTGAAAAAATTGTTCCATTTATATTATTTACTTTACTCAATTGACTCGGATAACAAATTAGCAGTCTTAAAAAAATTATTTAAAAAATTAATTAATTTTCTAAATAAATCAAAATTTACCCTTCCGGTTGGCAAATAAATAAATTTTCGAGATAAAATTGAAGGGAATAAGAGCCAATTTTCTCTTGTTCAGGGCGTAGCATGCATTGATCGTATATTAAATAGGGAATTGAGTGATGAATAACTCCAATATCCGTTAATAAAAAACTTAAAAATTAATTTTAAAACTCGACGATATTTCTCCTATTATTTATATAAATTTACGGTTCTTGCTCCAATTCCTTGCCGTTATTTGTTGGATTCACTTGTATTTTAGAAATTTCGTTAGTTAATATAATAATTAATATTTTTAGAAGAATATTAATTAAAATTAACATTTTTAGGATTTACTTAAATAAAAATATTTCTAAATTTATTAAAAAGTTATTAAATAAATAATTATTAACTAATTCTAATTTAATTTAATAATGCTATTAAACTTTTAATTTATGGTTTGCTAGATTATAGAGAGATTTGTTAGTCATTTTGTTAGTAATAAAAAATAAATTTTAATATTTAAAATAATATTAACATACATAACTATTTAGGATATACTATTTTACACATAAATGATTAAAAACAATTTTTAATCAAAAAATTTAATCTGTAAATTAATTAATGAATTAATTACATAAAATTTTTAGATATGTACTAATTATTAAATTAATGAAATATTTATCATCAGGGTAACTAAAGTTAGCTTGATTATTTACAAATATGTAGTTAAAAATGGTTTGTCATTATTTTTAAAAGAAATTTAATATAAAAACAAAACGACAATAATTAAAATTTTACCAAATAAAAATTATGTATATGTACAAAAAAATTTAAAAATTATTTTTATTTAATAAAATAACTAAAAAATAAAAATATTTATAATTAAATTGTGACTAGTAACTAATTAATTAATAATTAAAAATATCTAATTTCATTAATAATACAAGAACGAGATTGTTTGGAATAGAATATTCGTGCCTTTAACTTTAATAAAATTTAATTATCCAATCTCAATATTTAATTTAAATATTATGTCTTTATCGAGTTTTTGGAAGGCTCGGATTTTTATTTTCATTTTTCAGAAAATTGTTGTATTTATTCTCAAATTTGAATTTTTTGGAATCAAATTTTTTTTCAATTCTAATCCTTTCTTGTTAAAACAATGCTCATTCTCGTCACAAAACATATATCAAATAAATTTATTTACAAATACAATATAAGAGATTCAAAAGAAAGTAACCGGATGTGATATATTTTTGAAAATACTTTAAAATATTACATAAAATTATTTAAAGGAAAATAAATAAACAGAAATTGAAAATGAAATAACCACCAAAATTCTATTTATTAAAAATGTAGAGGTTGATGAATTAATTAATGACGAAACGAGAAATTTGTCCATAACTGAAAATTTTGAAGAAAATAATTTTGAGAAAAATATTTTAATTAATTAAATACCATATTCGCTATATTCCATGTCTTTGGCTGCTCTCCATATTCGACATTCTGAACGTTTATTTGCATGCATAGGCCTAAAATAATTCAAAATAATATTTTATAATTTATACTCAGAAAATTCATTCAATTTTGATATTTGAGATTTATAAAATTTTGTTTGTGATAAACTTACTTTAAATGTGATGCTTTTAAATGCATCCATCCTGGGGCATTTTGACTGTGATATTGTGGCCAATGTAGTCGATCTTCTCGATGATCAGATAATGATGGAACTCTTTAAATAAAAAAATAATTCAAGATTTTTTGTTTTTAATTTTTTTAATTTTCCAGAATTTAAATTCCCCTTTGGATAGAAAAGATCAAATTAAAATGAAATTATCTTAAATAGAGAGTAACGTTTAGACAGTTATCTTAACACAATGGCCAACCAAATTGGAAAAAAACTTCATAAGGAGGTCATCTAATTTTGGGCATATCTTTGTACGATTATCGACAGTATTAGGGAAAGTCTTACCCAGTTGTGGCAAACGATGTCCAAAGTTGAATCTTTAAATAAATCCAAGTAATATGTATAACTCAACATAATAATTACTAAATTAAACTAACCATTTTCTTACTTAAAGTTCTTTCTCCTGAATAAATATAGAAAATATAGATATTAAAAAAGAAATTAACTATTAGAATATCCAGCAGATGTATTATATAAAGGAATACCAAATACAAATTCAATTTCATAACCATGCATTACACCTGTCCATTTTGGCCAAGGATTCTTTAAATAAATTAAAAAAATATTTTTTAATTACTTACAGCACTTGAAGGTTCATCAAAATAATAAATATAAACATGTCCAGGTGAATCATCAAACTTAAAAATTAAAACAAATCTTTAGTACAATATTTTAAATCATTATTAAAATACCTGATCTGCAAACCAAAGGGAATCACAAGTAAAGAAATAATCGCCAACCTAAAAATAATTTTGAAGTGATTTATTCTAAAAATTAATTTTTCACCATTTGATTAACTTGATCAGCAAGAAAACGATGTTGTCCATTTGCATAATCACAACGATTATTTCCTGTATAAACATATGCCGCCGCAGCTCTAATGACCTCAGGTAAACGAGCAAAAGCTGTATTTACACATTCATTAAATTCATTAATCCCCATAAGTGGTTGGGTTTGGTGATCGAAAAATTTTGGGAGATTGTAAATATTCCTTTAACAAAAAATTTTTTGATGAAGAATAATTAAACAAACCAAAATGCCCCTTCATCGCTGTTTATTCCTTTAAAAAATAAAAATAATTTTAACAAATAATTAAGTAAATCTTAACGTATATTATGTCTTAAGGTAGATGTCAAGATGAAAATTATTTAAATAAAGAAAATTATTGAGAATCATGGAGAGATTAGATAGATAAAGGCTATTTTTAGTATAACTATAAATTAAAATAAATTCTTTAAAAATTCCCACCAATCATTAAATTAACATCTTGAGCGAAATTTTTGTTCCTTAATGCGATAAATGCATCTTCTTTAGTAAAAAAATTTGCATCCTTTGAAACGATAACAAGAGGAAATTCAAGAAATCCGAGCTATAATTAAATTTAAATTTAAAAAGAGTGATTTAGATTAAAAAACAGTTGGAATATTCCACAATTGATCAACAAACTCGGCAGGAGGTACTCTTCGAAGACAACGTGCTATATCATGAATATTTGTACGATTACATCCGACAAGTTTAGCCAGGTCACGGCTTTTTTCTAAGGCACGTTTTGGGGTGTCCATACTCCAACGATTGTCTAATGAACCTTTTAAAAAATATAATTAAATAAATAAATTTATTAATCGAATGCCTGATTGAAGAATTCCATTGTGAAAGAGTCCACGCGATCCTGGTGCAATTAAATGAGCAACAATACTAGAAGCACCGGCACTTTCTCCAAAAATAGTTACCTAATTTATTTTATTTTTCTTTTACTTAATAATTAATTTTTACTGATTTTGGATTTCCACCAAAAGCTTCAATATTCTCTCTAATCCAATAAAGTGCAAGTTGCTTACAATATAATATATGTTTTCTTTTAAAATCATTGTATTACCTGATCTAGCATTCCCATATTTCCTGTTAATTTTAAAAAATACTAAAAATTTATTTCCTAAAATTTTCTCCCTCACCAGGAACTTCAGAATCTCCCAAATACAAATAACCAAAAGCACCCAGTCTATAATTTATATTAACAACAATAGCATTTGCAGTTAATGCCAAAGCTTTTCCATCATAAAGAAGCAAAGATGGACTTTAATATTTTTAAATAATACATAAAATATATTTACTAATTACCTTCCATACCAAAAACCTCCACCAAAAAACCAAACCAAAACTGTCAGATTACTTTATATATTTAAATATACATGTTCAAAAACAAAAAGATTTAGTAAATACCTAGCCTCAGCTGGTGCCCAAATATTCATGTAAAGACAATCTTCACTGACTGGAGTGTTTGCATTCCACATTTCAGAACCCCAAAATGATTCGTTATAACTGTAAAAATATTTTAATTTTAAGATTTTCTTGTAAATAATTTTTATGATTAATCTATCTATTAATTAATAATTCAAAAAACGATACAAAAAATGTTTAAAATTATTTACTTAATTCTTATTTTACTTTTACATCTTATAATTTATTTACAATAAATTAATTTATTTGATATTTATAAAATATTTACGTGTCTCTTCCTTGATAACATGCTGGGGCGAGTGTTGTTGCTTCAATGGTTTCTGAAATTTAATTAATATTTTATTTAATTATCTGTAAAGATTATTTTAAATTTTATTCTGAAAACCCCCAAAATTTTGCATATTTTCCTATTTTTTTCGCAATTTCCTTCAATCAAAATTCATCTTTTTCCATTTAATTATATTTACTTTCCCAATATTCCCACACTTTATCCAACCATTCCAAGGCTTTTTTAGTCGAGGAGGCAAAAATCTCAATTCTCCAATTGGGGGCTCAGCAAATGGAACACCCAAGAAAGAGCGAACACGTTTGTGTAGAAAAATAGATTCAAATCCTCGTAAAAGGCCAGCTTGGAGTTCAACATCCACTGGAACTTTAGATTGGTGGGAAGAAGATAATGAGGCATTTACCTAAAATTATGTATATAGGTTTATTACAAAGATAGTGGTTTTAGATAAAATTAGCGAGGGATGAATTACATTAATTATTTTTCAAAAAATTTAAATTATACAAAGTTTAGGTTAAAATAGGGAGACAAAATTAATTAGGGCCATAACTATAACATTAGATCCCAAGCAAATTTTTATAGAAAATTTATGTACTTGTGATAATCGAAGTATTGTGCCGTCAATAAAAGAAAATACTAAAATTATTGATAACAACCGCCACATAATTTTCCTTGCACTAATAAATAAATAAAAAGTAAAGTAATCTTTAATGAAAATATTTATTATTAATAAAATATTTATTTATAGAGAATTATTATTTTATTTGTACAGTTAATAGACAATTATTTTTAAATGTTTAGGGAGTCTCTTGTTGGATTTGCTTTTTTGTGAAAATAAAAATTGAAAAAAATTTGTGTGAAAGATCGATTCTCGAATTTACTTTTAAAAAATTATTAAATTAAAAAATGAGGGAGGAGGGGTAATTTAATTAAAAAAATGTGTAATTTATTCAAAAATATTTTTAACAAAACAAATATTTAATGTAACTTAATTCCTAAAAATTGCAAAACAAAAGTAACAAATAAATTTACAAAAAAATTTTTATTTAAAATAAAAGAAGCCAAAAAAAAATAAATAAAAATAAAAGAATAAATCCCCCCTTTTCCCCCATTTATTTCTCTAAATTCTTTATTTTTTTGTTTGTTTTAAAATTTTCAATAAAAATCAAAGTGTGAGGAAAAATATTTAAAAGAATCCAACTAAACAAGAATAAACATACTCAATTAAAAAAAGTATTTGGGAAAGATAAAATAAAATGACATAAATTTATATTAGGTATATAAAAAATTAAAGTAAATTTTTAGTAAAAATAATTAAAAAATGAAAAAAATTGAAGGATAAAAAAGATGAAGAAGATAAAAATATTTGAAAGATAACATTTTTGGAAATTTTTGGATAAATTAAATGTTAATTTAAATTTTAAAAATAAAATTTTAAATTATACTAAAATAATATTTAGATTTAATTTATAGATACCCATTAAAAACTTTTATCTGCCAAATATTTTAAATTTGTTTTCAAAAAAGTTTAATTAATTTAAATAACAATAATTTCAAGAAACTTTTTTAAAAAGTACTTATTCTACGAAAAGTTTATGATCAAGATGATTATCAATTATAGCAATGGCTAAATGGAATTTTTCATAAAAGTATCAATTGGAGCTAAGATCTATTTCAGAATGTTTAGAGCCATTTAAATTCCTTAACGCTCCGGCAAAAAATAAAAATTATTAAAAAAAGATGTAAAATTTTAAAAACTGAAGAAAAAATTGAATAGGATATCTAAATAAAATATAAAAATATTTTTAAATAAAATTTTAGGCAATTACTATTATTATTAAGTGTTCAAAAAAGGTCATCTAATCTTAAATATTTACGAATTTAAAATAAAATGATGAATAAAATTTGAACTTATTAAAATATGAAAAATCTTTAAAAATTAAATATTAGAATTTTAAAAAATTTAAAGAAAATAGATTTCCTTCAATAAAAATGTCATGTCAAATTTTTAGTGTTAAAAGCATTCCAAAGTGAGTGGACATAAAGCAGAGCTTTTTCTCACCCAGTTTTTATTCATCTTTTTTTTTGTTTAGCTAGTAAGCATAAAAAATATATTTTATAAATTTGTTTAGAGGGCCTCTTTCCCCCCCCCCCCCCCCCCCCCACCTTCGCCTTCTTCAAAGGCGTGTGAATGTCATTTTCCTTATAAAATCTTCTCAAGTTCCTCTATTTATTGCGACTTTATTTTGAATAGAAATATGTATAATGGTGGCATCTGAGTTTTAATTATATTTGGGGGTTGCTATATTGATGCTTTTCCTATTAAAAATTATTTTCATTTAAAATTTAAGGAAGGTAAGAATTCTGAAAAAAAAATTTAAAAATCTGGAACGATGAGGCAACGGTTTTTTAAAATATATTTAAACATTATTTGCAAAAATGGATTTTATTAAAGGATTAAATATATCAGTAAATATACATATTCATTTTTTAAATTTGTCTTTGGAGACGTGTTGATAAAGTTTAGTGTTCCTAAATTAAAATACTACTATATTAAAACTTTTTATTACCTATAAATTTATTTAATCAAAAATTGTCTAGCTCTCATACAATTTTAAGTATTTTATTCTTTCCATAATTAAATTGACTTTTATCCTTTATTTAATATTATTTTCTCAAAATCTTCTTTTTCAATTATTCTTCCTTATTGGCTAGCTTTTCTCTTTTCTCAAAAACACTTTAACCAAAATATAATCAGGCTGATTATATTTTGAGAGCATCTCAAAGATTTTATTTTTCCTTTATTGAGTTAAGAAATTTGATTATATTAAATATGTAAAGGAGGAACGTTTATTGGAAAGATAAATAAATTGTAAAAGATGGAAAAAAATAAAATTAAATGTTCGATAAAAAAGATTTGTGGCAACTTTTAAAGAGGGATTTAATATTTAGTAAAAGAAAAGAGAATTTAAATTAAGGGATAATATTAATTTTTTAAGAAGAACTTCATATTATTATATAATTAATTTATTATTAACATAATTTTTTTGAGATTTTTAATTGTTAGAAATTAAAGTTAAGAGCATTTTTTTGAAAATTAATAAATGATAATGAAGAATTATTCGAGTATTTCCTAAAGTTGAAAAAATAATTTATTATTTTTTATTATTAAAAAAGCCATCTTTTCAAAAAAAATAAAGAAAAAAAACAAAATCCAAGTAAGAACAAAGAGTATAAGATAGCGGAAGGATTTTGTGAAAATTTGTAGCGGAAGGAAAGCGTTGGCGGTTGAAGGCGTCTTCCTAAAGATGCTGGATAACAATGAAAGAATGAATGTACTTTAATATTTAATATTCAAAAATGAAGAAAAGCATTCGAGCAGAACTATTCAGAATGCAAAAAATCTCTCCAAATATATTTTAAATTAAAATAAAAGTATGGAAATATTGGCTGGGAAAAAATATTCTTTTGCAAAGGGAAAATTTTTCTCTTGTAGAATTTCCCTGTTAAGATACTTTAAAAGGGTGTTCGGTACTCCCGCAATACCGAACTAGTATGTGAGAGTACGAGTACCGGACTAGTGTTCGGCACGCTTCAGTACTTCCTCGGTATTCACGAAAGTACTGACTCGGTATTTTTCGGTATCACCGGTATTGATATTCAAAAATTACTTTGTTTAACACTATTTTAAACGTAAAAAATCCTCATTTACAAACATTAGATGCATTTATACACATTTATTAATTTAGAAAAACAATTGTCTGAATTACAATAAATGGAATGAGTTAACAACAAACAACATTTATATATTACATAATTTACAGAAAGCGAAGGGAGGTGAATAATTTACAGAAAACAAGCAATTACGATTTAGAACAATTTCGTTATATATTTTTCATTTTCGCTTCTGAGCACATCCTTCTGAACAACCATCGGCACCGCTGCTCACTCGGAAACAATCTTGACATGTCTAAAATGAAGAAAGAGATTTAGCATTTTAATTTTTTCCGTATTTTTAATTTTCTACCTCATCAGCGAGGAATTACTAATCGCGTCGAATGCCGGATCCACATACTTGGCATACATATTGTGCGCTCCATAGGTCTGCGGCAATGCCAAGTAGAGAAGGAACACGGCTTTAACGGCCCAGTAGAGCGGGAAGTAGCTGTAGATCTGCGAGGCGAACTGGTCGGGCACAGTGAAGAAGGCGAACGTCGTCCAGTACACTAACCATTGCGTGTCGTCTTCTGCAAAATTTTAAATAAATTATTACGTGTTATGTTCTCTTAGTTAAATTTTTGCACCTTTGTCATCCGACCGAATAGCGATTACCGACTGGTATGCTGGATAGACGAATCCAATCATGTTGCAGAGGAGGCCAGCGAAATTGCCAAGGATCAGGACGATGGCACTGACAGCATAGAACATCTGAATGAAGGGGAAAAAATATTTTTTATAAAAAATAAAAGGATATTTTACCTGTTCACGGTCAAGGCCTGTAGCTGCCTCCAATGGCGAAAAGAACGCATCCTTCGACTTCAACCAGGCGAGCAACACGGGGCGCAGATCCCTCAGCTGTTGAACATCGCTCGGACGGGTCTGAATACGTTGCTTGCTCATCCTCTCACCAGCACCATGTCGCATGCGGCTCCTTGAATTTGAGCGCGCCGTCGCCGTCTGATCACCACGTCCTCCATGCGCGTTTGGGCTCGTAGACATTGTTGTTGTTGACTATCGCCAGTTGAGTTTATCACCTGCGTTGAATGTGAGTAGAAGATTTGAGATATCGAAAGGGATTTTTTGTGCTTTTATACTGATTAGAGCAATAAGAATTTAACAAAAATTTGTTGTTTTTAATTTATAAATGGAAGTAAATAATTAATTTGTTTTTTGAATAATTATTTGATAAATGTGTGTCTGGCATTGAATAAATTATTCTAAATTATGTAAATTTTGACATATATAATATTAATTAACAAACTCTTATATTTCATTCAGGATGTCAAAAAAATTTTTGCACTTATGAACTTTTAGTCCCAAACAAAATAACCATTTTCAATATTTTTTCAACAAATATATAAATTAATTTCTTTTAATTAATCATCTAAGGAAATAAGAGAAAGCTTTAAAATTCTAATAGTTTAATAGAAATTTTAATAAATATTTAATAATATACATATTAATAATTATTCTTCATTTATATTTTTTGCAAACAAACTTAAAGGAATAACCTTAAAAATAATAGTATTGCCAAAATACATCTGTAATAAAAAAATGTATTTTTTTATTATTTTGAGACAAAAAAGAGACCATTTGGTATAAATATAAAACAAAAAAAGCTAACGTAAATTTATTTATTGGAATGCTAGCCAAATTTGATTATTAATGGATGTCATCAGCATATATTGTGTACATCTTTCAAAAGACTATATTTAATTTTTACCAATTTTATTTTAAAAAAGTTTCATTTTACTGGTCTTTATATTTATTCTTTGACTTATGTATTTTTAACTTAAAATTTATATAAATATTTAATTAATATAAATATATTTTAATTTTATTTTTTCCCTAAAATATTTCTCGAATTATAACTAGATTTCGAAGCAAATCATTTTTTCTGCATAATTATAGGGTTTTTATTATTGTACATACCGTATACATATACTTGAATAATTACTCTCGGTAATTATAATTTGAACAAAAGCGGTAATTATTCGAGAGAGGGAGATCATTGACGGATGACTTTTTAATTTGTTTATTAATTTTATCCTTCAAATAAATTCCTTTGACTTAAATATTTACAGGAGTAAATATATTAACCACTTAAATATTTTACAGGAGTTAAATAAGTTTTGAATAATAAAAAACCCTTTTTGTTTTTTAAATTAAATAAAATTTTCTTAAAACTTGAAAAGACTAAGTTTTAAGAATAAATAAAATTTGCTTCTAAAGTTTTTCCAACTTTTTAAATCTATATTTTTTTAATTCGCCATATGTATATGGCGAATTCGCCATATAATATCCTTTTAATTTATAACATACATCTGTCTCCAATAATTTAGTCATTTCAACAAATGATTTTTCATTTCCTATAAAAGTTATGTTCTTTCCAAACAAATCTATTTATTTTGGATTTATTTTTTATATTTTTAATTTGTGACGCTTTGTTATTACATAATTATTAAATGTATACATAACTTTATTATGGCTGTTTTCATTAACACTATAATAAAAAAACTCTTAACTTTATTTTTCCTTTTTGTGTTTATTTAGTTTTATTTTAACTAAAAAACAAAAAAAAATTGTTTAAGGATTGAATTTAGTTGTTTTGTTTTTTTGGAATATTTTTTTTCCTTCTACAAATGCCACTAAAACCTTTTTGTTTTGAACAAAAGGCTCATTTTACTGCACTCTTTTTTTAAATTTTATATTTATTTATTACCTCTTGTTTTAAAATATTTTTTTTGCATTTTTAGTGCAAATAATATATATAATATTATTTTTTAAGTCTGATAAATTTTATTTTAAATTATTAAATTTCAATTACTAAAATAGATTGGATTAATAAAGATGGTTTTTTATGTAATTCAAGAAATCTTTAAACGATTTAATGTAGAAAGTAATCTTTAAATATTTTTATAAGTTTTAATATTAAATTCCATTATATATTTAATTCCAAAAAATATAAAAAAATAATTCTTTTTTTTATTTCCACATTTATCCCAAAGGAATTTATTTTATATTAATGTTGTAAATAATTATTTTTAAAAATTTTTTGGAGCATTAATGTGATAAAACCATTTAAGGTTTTAATTTTTTTAATTTTAATAACCGTTGCTTGGAAATTCTGATTTTGCAAATTAATTAATGCTTTAATTAAATTCTAAATTAATTCCTTTAAAACTTTTTTTTTCAATTTCATATAATAATTAGTCAACTTTATTTCATATAAGCTTTCGAACACCCAGAAATCTCACTCTAATTTTCTCCTCCCCGTTTTTATTTGTTTATTATTTTTTATTAAAATAGTATAGCTTCGGGAAAAATAAATTATTTTCTTTTCCGGTTATTTATTTTTTATTTTTTATTGAAATTTTTTTATCAATTTCCCCTTATTATTTTCATTATTAAAATTTTTATAAAAAGTTTATTTTTATTATATTTTTGAATTTAATTTAATTTAAAATTATGGCGAACAAACTTTTAAATAAATATTTTATTCTAATTTAAAAATATATTTATTTTCTTTAAATATCAACAACTTTTTTCATTTATTTTTGACATCTCTTAAAATTCCAATTTTGTTTTTAAACTCTCTAAAATTGTCTAAAAAAGAATTTAATCTTCTTTTAAATAAAAATAAATAAAACGTGTTTTTCAAAGACATATCAAATATTTAAATTATTTGACAGAAAATGTTTGGCACGTGAGAATTAAACTTTAATGCTTTTTACTTTTTTCTTTAAGTTTTTTTCTTAAATATTTATGGATTTAATTTAGTTTTTTAATTTAATTTAAAATATAATTTAATAGTTATCCACAAGGATAAAAATATTCCAATGTAAAAAAATTCACCGGGTTGGTAATGTAATGGATTGGCATCATGAAGAAGAAACCCAAACCAGAGCACAATTGAATGTGTCATCATTCCTTAAATAATTAGTGTTGATTTGAAACATCCTTTCTTCAGTTCAAAAAACTAAAAACATTTTTGTTGCCAAATTTCTCTTTAACTTTTCATCCATTCTAGCATACAATATTAACTAAAATTCAATTAAATTTAAAAAATTGCCAAAATATTTAAAATGACTCTTTCATTCTCTTTTATCTCAAGGGAATGCTTGTTTTTCCGTTCGATTTTGTTGATGAGTGAAAGATAAACATTTTTAAATATAAGTACAAAATTCATGTTCATTTATTTTCATTGTTTGGCGGTTTTTTTTCTTTTCTTTATTTTAAAAAAATTTTATGAGGGAAAATTTTAAGTCAGTTTCTCTTTTATTACTAAAAAATTGTTGGTATAATAGTTGAAGTAATAAATAAATGACATCGAAGAATAAAGCCCCATCTTTTTTTTAAACCCTTTTATTTTTTCTTTTTATTTTCTTTTAACATTCAGTTCCCATTTGTACCATTATAATATTTTTTCCTTTTATTTGCTACTGATTTTAAGGATAAAGACATCTACAAGTATTAAAATGAAAGTATTTCTTAGCTAATGCGGAAATAATATACATATATTTTTTGAAAGTACATATTTATTAAAATATTATTAATTAAAAATTGCTAAATATTTGAAAATTTTTAAAAATTTATTTTCTATTATTCTCAAATAATTGCAACATTTTCTCAAATAATTGCTCATTTTAAAAAATATATTAATTATAATTTAGGTTATTAAATAATTAACGTCTTTTATTAATTGTTTAAGTCAAATAACGTACCCAAAGATTTCATTAATAAATCTTGCATATTGCTGTTATTTACATTGTGGATTTTATATGTTCAAACATCTTTTTTTTACTTATTACTGTATAACACACCAGCCGGAAATATTAAAATAAACTAAACTTAAATAACCTTTTAAATTTTTTATATTAACTTTAGCATGAAATTTTTGGCTATTTTGATGGTGTTTGAATTACTTGAACTGTAAAAATATTAAGCAATTCTGACACCATTTACTAAAGTGCTTTATAAAATATATTTATTAGGTACATAATGCTTGATTTAATTTATTTTTATTTTTAGTTAATATTTATTTATTTTTTGTCTAACTTTTCTGTTTTTTAATTTCTATTTGCTATCTAAGTATAAAATATTTACTTCCTTTTATTTTCATTTTTGCACTATCTTTTTATATTTTCCATTAAATAAGGGGGGTGTTTAAATTGTAAAAGAGATAAAATCACAATATTTTAAAAAATATTTTAAATAAATTTATGTAGTATAAAAATTGTTGTGTTTTCTCGCCTTTCTTACTCCCTTTAGAAATTAATTGTAGGCGTGAAGATATGAGACAATTTCTAGAAAGAAGAAAGGGGTTCTCTCTTTTGTTTTTTATTCTTTTAATTATCCCCCCACTTTTTTCCGATATTTTTTAAATTAATGCCAGACAGTCTTTGTTCTCGTTCTTTTGATATTTTTAAAAATATTTTTTATTTTTTTTAAATTCTAATTAATACTTTGTTTGTTTGTTTTCATTGAATATATTGCAAAATTAAAAATATTTTATAAAAAAATTTTTTAAATAAATAAATGATTGAAAAGAATTAAAAGGAAGATTAGAAATTGGACATAAATAAATATTTTTTTAAATTTTCTTTTTATAAATTTATTTTTAAAATTATTTAGAAATAAAATGCTATTTTTATTTTTTAACAAAGATTTATATTCGAAAAATTTTTACAATTTAATTCCACCCACAATAATAATTTGGAGTTGTATTTGTTTTATTTATTTACCTTTGGGAAATTGGTAATTATTAAATTCCTCTACATATATATTAAATCAAAAATTTCTAAATTAGTTCAAGTTTTGAAATTGGTGCTCAAAATGCAAAAGCATTGCGAGACCGTCTTCAAAAGAATTCTAAAACAATTCCCGAAACAGGCATTTTATTGTCAAGAAGTGGTACAAGCAATACAGCCCCTTTGAGAGTGTTGATTGGGATTTATATAGAATCTATGGGGAATTTTCAGGCAACAGATATGGTAATTTATATTAATCTAAAAATGAGCACATATTTATTATTATATTTATCTAACCTATTCTGATTAAAATTTTCTAAATAATAAAGAAACTATTTTTAAATTCATTTTACTTATTAAGAGTTTTGATGTAGACCTTTATTTATATATGCATTGGAGGGATCGGTCATTAAATCATTCAAATGAAGAATATATTCTTGTTAATGATTCTAAAGTTAGAGATAGAATGTGGTAATTTTTAAATTGAATATTTATTTTTAAAAATATTATTTTTAAAAAGGTTGCCAGATTTATATTTTGCTAATGCAAGAAATAGTAAATTTCACGAAGTAACCGCACCAAATTTTAATCTTTTTATTGATAAAGATGGAAATATAGCTTATTCTATTAGGTTAAAAAATATGTAGATTTTAAAATTTAATAATTAAAGAATAACTTTAAATGTTGCTTGTAATTTGGATTTGGCTAATTATCCAATGGATAGACAAACTTGTGGGATTAGAATTATTAGTTGTAAGCTAGAATTAATTTTAAAAAAATTAAAATAAAATTTTTAAAAGATGCTTATGTTGAAAGTCAAGTAAACGTAACTTGGTTTACTGCTAATTCAACTCGTTATAATCCTGAGATAGGCTTACCTGAATTTAAAATAGAGCAATTGACGCCTGATTATTGTGATGGTACTTACATGTATGCAATAATGGAAAAAACTTACAAAAGAGGCAAAAATAAAATTAAAAATAATTTTTTAATAAAAATATTTTTTGAAGATAAATTTAGCTGTCTTGAAGCTTTAATTCATTTAAATAGGCAAATTGGTTATCACCTTGTTCAATCTTTCATTCCAACAGCCTTAATTGTTATGATATCATGGGTGGGTATTTTTTAAATTTATTTGAGGATTATTTCTTTTAATTTTAGGTTTCTTTTTGGATTGATAGAAGGTTAAATTAAAAAGAAAAATATATTTTAAATAAAAAAATATTTCAAAAATTATTATAAATATTTAAAAATTTTATTAAAAAATTTTAGAGCCGTTCCAGCTCGAGTTACTTTATCATTTACTACACTTCTTTCGTTGTCAACATTGGTATGTAGAAATAAAAATATTTTTTTGAATAAATAAATTATAATTTCTTATAAGGGTAATGGATTACGTTTTGGACTTCCTCAAGTAGCTTATGCTAAAGCTATAGATTTTTGGTTTGGATGTTAGTTTTTTAAGAGATAATATTTTTGTTTTAAAAATATTTTTCCTTTAAAGCTTGTATGTTTTTCGTTTTCCTTTCATTAGTAGAATTTGCAGCAGTTAATTCATATATGCGCGAAGCAGAAAAATATGAAAGACTTGCAAGTTATACCGCAAAGAAAGGTTTAAATAATTAAAAATATTTTTTTCTAAAAATTAATTTTAAAGAATTACATTTACATGACGATAATTCTAGATGGTCTCCAGAGTAATTTTAAACATAATTTTCTAATTAAATTAATTTTCTCTTTAGTGAAAGTTGTGGAGAGAGTTCTTTACTTATTTTTGGAGGAACTAATGAAGGCCCCAATGGATTTGGGTCTCGAATAATGAGTTTTGCTAATTTACTTGTGCCGTCTTTATTTCTTAGCACAAACAGAAATACTAAAAAAGTTGTTTCTCTTACACCAACTAAAGGTTTTATCTCATCAAATCAGAATATGGGAAATGGTCAAATGAAACAGGAAATGTAAATTTTTGAAATAAAAGAATTATTTAATTTAATATAATTATTCTATTTCTCCTAGTCATTGTTCCTTCAATAAAATCCCAGTTTAATTAAAAATTTATAAAAATTAAATTCCAACATTTGCGTTTTTCGATAGAATAATTGATATAGACTGAGGGCGGCTCTTTGTGATAATTTTGTCATTTAGAGCAATAAATTATAACTCTTCTTAAGTCTATTTTTAATTTCAATAAAAAATTTTTTTCAGAAAATCTCCCCCTTCAAATTGCCGATTGGATAATTTATGTCCTTCATCTGACAAAAAAGTTAATTTGGGACTTAGACTTTCGGAACATATGGAATTAAGGTCCTATGATGATTTTAATACTGGAGAAGATGGAGGAGAAGAATCTGAAGAGAAAAGTTTACCTTCAACAAATTTATTAATTTCTATAAGTCCAAAGCATAATTTAAATAATAATAATATAACACAAAAACAACTTTTAAATGAAAAAAATTTTTCACCGTCAGAGAATAGAAGGAATATTGTTGTTCCCGAAATGCAGCCATGGCCTCCTTCGCCATATGAAAAAGTTGGAGATTTAAATTTTTTCCGCCACGTTAGATTTCATATCTTGAAAGTTTCTAAGCCTGTTAAGAAGATCTACCCATAGAAAAATATTTTCGGCTTCTCATTATTATTTAGTTTAATAATTTAATTTTCAACTACAAATTAATTACGTGCTTAATTGTTTTGGTAAAAATAAAAAATAATGCTTAGGGACGTGCACCTCCTCCAGCACCACGCAGAGTACGTAAAACAAATAGTTGTGCAGGTGGTGGATGTTCAACAAATTGTGGAGGTTTAGAACAAAAGAGTCCAATGGCAACAAGTCATTTTCTTCGTCAGGGCTTTCATTATTCAAGAAAAGGATTAAATATAGATAGATGGAGTAGAATATTATTTCCTGCTGGGTTTACACTTTGGAATATTTATTATTGGAGTTATTATTTGTGGTATATACAAATGAATGGACCTCATCATTAAATAAAAAATAAAATAATTAAATTTTAATTAAATGATTTTTTAACTTTTAATATATTTCTTTTTGTTTTTCATTGGTTTTTACATTTGTTGTATTTTATTTAGAATAAAATTTTCGAACTATTTTTTAAAAATCTTCTAAAAATTAGCGTGGCAACTTTATGCTCTTTATGAGTAATTATTAGAAAATATAATTCCGCCTTAGTTTTAAAGTAGTGATCGGATAAGAAAGATTTAAGATTAAATTAGTATAATATTTTAGCATGTTTAATTGTAAAATAAATTGGTGTCTCAATATCAAAAAATAGAAGAATTTATGATTCATCGAGAATAGTTTTTGTTTGTTCCAAGGAGAAATCTTCATTTATAACAATTATTGCCCAAAATTCTTTCAAAAGATTAATTATTTATGTCCTGCTTAAAAAATATTTATATAAATAAAAAGAATATTTGATGATTGTTAAATATTCTAGGCCATACATATGAATTTTTAATTTCTGTTTAGGGTAAGATTCTTTCTTTTTTATATAGGTAATTTTAAAATTATTTGAAAACCCCTCCTATATTTTCATTAAAATATTATTAATCTTTTAATTATTTTTTAACAAAATATTTTAATTTTAAATCCTTATTAAAGAAACTTCCAGTTAGATGTTTATTCAACTAATATTATTTTATTCTATTATTGCAGTACGTGGTGATTATGAATATGCTGCTGATGAACTTGAAGAAGATGAAGGACCATGTGGGAAACATGAAGAAGTGGATGAATGTTTCATGAACTGTTTAGGATATCCTCCAAGTTGTGAATATCCTAGAGGATATGAAATAGTTGAAGTATTCAAAGATGTTGAATGTATATGTGAAGAAGCATGTGTTTGTGAATCTGGATATGTTAGAGAGGAATGGGGAGTCCCCTCACCTTGTGTTTCAATATTTGATTGTCCAAAGAATGAACGAGTGATAGATGTAATTAAAGAAGATTATCATAAATGAATGAAGAGAGATTAAAATTTATTAAACGAAAAAATTTTGATTTAAATTTATTTTTTGAGAAAAATATATGTTTACCTACTTTGTGTTTTTAATTTTAAAATTGGTGAAAAATTAATATTTACAGAATTTTTTATCATATCGATCATAAAAACCCAAAGTACGATCTTTTGATCATTAATGCCAAAATTTTTGAATTCAAAAAATCTTAGATAGTGTTGATAGATCATCATTTGATCTATTATTTTAGCAGATAAAATCTATAAAACATCCCCTTGATATACCGCCTAAATTTTAAAAATGAACGGTGTTTTAAAGTAATGATATCCCTTAGGCAGCTCCCGTAAAAAGGAGGTTCCAGTCCTCGTCTCATTTTTTCTGTTCAGTTGAGAATGTTTTACAGATATCAGAGAATGTTTTATGGAATCCGTTTTTTGTGACAGAAATTGTGAAAAACACACTAAAGGCGGGTAGTTGTTTGAATTTAAGTAATTTTAGGCTTTTTGTTTTTTTTAAAATTATTTTTCCAAAAATGTTCCCTTATACTTTTTTGCTTTTTTAGTTTCCTTTTTTCAAAGGTTATTGATTACCCCTCCCCTTTATCTTCACATCTTCCTTCATCCTCTTTCTTTATTATTTCCAGTCTAATGTTATTTCTCCTTTTTTCTCTATCTCACGCAGCTGTCATTTTTTATATTTCCGTCAATGCTATGTGTAAAGTAACAAAAAAATTCCCTCAATATCCCTTTTTTACATTTCTTTTTACAATACAAGTTCCCTCAATTTTCATTCGTTTTCATTTTTTGTGTGCACGACATGCCCCTCTTCTCTACGCTTTTTGTGCCAACTAAATGTACTAAGCCTCCTGGGAAAACTGTGTTCTATCTGTCACTAAGCTTTCATCGTTTATGTTCATGGCAACCAATAATTTTTACTTTTAAATATTTATGTATGATGAATTTGTATTTAAAAAAAGATGGAGTAGAATAACTCATTTTTAAAGTAGAAAAAATTCATAAATATGCACTATTCATAACTTAGAGAGATTTTTGTTAAATTATTAATCGCTAGTGAAAACGATTCAAATCCGGAATATTTGTACTTAGAGGTAATAAAAGATGCGCCAATTAGTCACCCGATTTGTTTTCGACGTAACTTTAACTTTTAAATTTGATTTACACCTTAGGAAACTTTTTAATATTAAAATGGACTTTATATGTATTATTTCATAATTAAATCAGAGTAATTTCCACTCAAATGTTGAGCAGGTTTTTTATGATAAAAGTGGACTTATTTGTTAGTGTTTAAAGATTACGATTTTTTGATATGAACAAGTTTTATATTATTTGAATATTTAAATTAGGAAAAAGTTTGCCGCCTTAAATTTTTTCCAATTATAAGCTATTTCGCTAGAACTAATCGAGAATAGTTGATTGATACCAAAATCAATGATTAAGTCTCGGGCCGAATTTGTCGCACTTTATAAATTAAACCTTTTCATTTTGATTTACCACTAGCACAATTTGTAATTTTAAAGTTACAATTTTTCAAATATATTTATTTTTTAAATATGTTTCTATTTATCTGATCTCTGGTTTTTATTTTTTTCATTACTTCCCTTCATTCCTTTTTTTACAAAGTTTTACTACTTCTGTTATTAGCAATTGCTTCAAAATATCAGCAAAAATAGGAGAGAGCACCTGTTCTTTTAAGAACGCAGAAATTCTTCTTTTTTTTCTATTTTTTGACAATTCAAAAACTTTTCTAAATTTATTTCTTTTTTTTGACCGGCACTAACCCACCTCTCCCCTCCCCACTCCTCATAACCCTCGAGACATTCTTCTCTACTAGTCACTCAAATACCTCATTTTAGTTAAAAGCATTCCTTTATTTTTTTCTTTTAATTTTCACTTAAAAAAGTAAAAAAAATATTTGCACTTTCTTATTCCATTCTCATTAAAAATTCTATACTTGAATTATGTATTAGTATGTATATCTTTTTTTAAATTATTATGACGAATATAATATTTTAATATTTAAATGTAAATAAATATATTTAATTAATCTTTATGACTTAAAAATAATTAATTATGATATATTTTTAATTTACTATTAAATATGAATGTATTTATGTAGTCAGCCCGACTAAACCGAAGAAATTTTAAATATTCAACTATAGTAGACTTTAATTCTTTTTAAATTATTTATTTCCTTTGATGTAATAATTATCATTTTAAATTCATAAATTAATACAAATTTTTAAAATATTTTTTGTCTGATATTAGAGGTATTTAGATATTTTTTAAAAAATAATCTCAAGGGATTATAGTACTAAATATTTAATATCTACATAAAAATATATAAACATTACGGGATTAATAACCACCAATTTACAATTATCTTTTTATTTATTCATCGGATTACTACTGTTTTTATATGCGTCATGTCAATTTAATCTTTTCACTTTTTTTCTTTAATTTTTTTTGCAAAGCTTCCCCCCCCCCTCATTCCATATTTCTTACTTAGTCGTAATCCGATGCCCCATTCCCTCAAATATTCTCTTTTATTTTTTTGACTTCCGCCTTCCCTTTTATATTTTTTAGAACAATTTATTTTATTTTTGTTTGTCAAATTTTACTTGAATGCTGCTCTCTCTTAAAAACTTTTTTAATAAAAAAACTACAAAACGTGTGGCACAAGCATTAAAAATTTTTTTGTTTAGGCAGATGCAAAAAGGAATTTAATGAAAAATAAAAGGAAATAAAATTTTTTACAATTTTTTTCTTCTTTTTGGCTGTTCTTTTAATTATTTATTTTTTATTAAATAATTATTAAGTTTAAAATATATTTTCTTGGAAATAGCAAAATGTTTTTGTAGATTTTTCCGATCACCCCCAATATTTATAAAAATAAAAGAGGGAGATTTTTAAATACAAAAATATAGGTAATTATTTAAAATCTAATTTATTTTTTGGAAATTCTTTTTCTTTTTAATTTAATTTGCTTTTTCGTTATTTTTATTTATATTTCAATTTTAATTATTGTAAACAAATTAGTAAATTTTACATTTTTTAAAATTAAATTAGTTTTTATTTAATTTGCTAAATTGAAACTTTTAAATATTTTTTAATTTAATTTTAAGATTTTATTAAATTTCATTTTTAGACGATAATTGATTATTTAATTAAATAGTCTCCCTTTTAATTTATTAAATTAATTTAATAATTTTTTAATTTACTGAAGGTGTTTGTTGATTAAATGCCTATTTAATTGTCATGTTTTTTTGATAAATAACAAATTTTTTCTTAAAATTTTTTACAATAATTTATTTAAATTAATGTAAATTTTGATATTTATTTTTTTTCTTTTAATTGTTATTCATCCATTTTTATTTATCATCATTAATTGTTAGAAATAAATTTTTTTTTGTTTTCTTACCAAACATTTACGTCATTCTTTACTTACTCTTTTACACTCTTTGCTGTTCTCAAAAATTTAATTTTCTTTTGATTATACCGCTTCTCTCCTTTTTTTAAACTTAAAATATTCTTATTTCTTCTCTAATAAAATTCTTATATTTTTATTTAAAATAAATTATACAAAAGGATTTTATTGAAACCAACAAATTTAAATAATTAAAAAACTTGACGTTTAAATAATTAAAAGCAATGCCCCACAATCTTAATAAAAACCAGCACTTGTCGCTTTTTTATAAAATTTTTATATTATCAGTTTTGCAAGATAATGTCGATACTTAAACAATTTATTACAAATAATTAATTAATTTTGTAAAAAATTAAAAAAAGAAAATAAGGAGCATTTTTATTTGTAATGGAAGTTTATTTTTTGCTCAATTTTCTTGAACATTTAATAAATTAAGCGAAACTCTCTCATTTTTTTAAAATCTTTTAATTAATTATAAAATTAATTTTTATTTATTTTTACACTTTTACATACTTTCCTTTTTAATGAAATCTTCACTTTAATATTAAATTTAATGTTCAAGCAAGCATTTCAAAATTATTTTATATAGACAGGTTTAAGTGTAAAAAAAGTAGTAAGGTTGTTGTAAACTAAAAAGAATTTATTGCGTAAGCAACCAAGTTTTTTTTAAATTATTTATTTTTGATTTAGAAGCATTTAATTTATTTAAATATCAAAATTATTTTTTACAAAAAATTTAAAATTTTCCAATTTAATTTAAAATATTTAATTTTTTTTTAATATTTTTATATTAAAATTTTTTACTTTTTAATTTTTTAGATTAAAAATTTATTTTTAAATATCCTTTAGACAAAAATATTACTTAGAAATACATTACAAACAGATTTATTTATTTTGACATTTTATTTTTAATCCAAAGTGATTAACAAGACGGGTATTTAATTCTATAAATATATTTTGTAAAATCTTTAAAGCCCCGCTTTAAAATTAATTTTCAATCCTTCTTAAAATTTTCCATTTTTGCCATTTTTGAATAAATAAAAATTTGATTGGTGAATAAATATTATTGGGCCAAACATTATTTATTTAAAAAAATTTTTGACTCTGATTACTTTTATATGGTCCAAGGGATTTCAAGTTACCTTGAACACGATTTTTCAAGAAGATCCTTTCAAACATAAATTACTACATATTACAAACTATATTCAGAACCTTTCGAAATCATTTAATAAAGAAGAATTATATTATTTCCATACTGTAGAAAAATTCATAGTATAGGAGTTGGAATACATCTTCATAAAATGGTCCCGAAATACTACAGACTTTCCTACCTACTATCAAACTATCAAATATTTCCTACCTACTTTCCTACCTACTATCAAACTATCAAATATTTCCTACCTACTTTCCTACCTACTATCAAACTATCAAATATTTCCTACCTACTTTCCTACCTACTATCAAACTATCAAATATTTCCTACCTACTTTCCTACCTACTATCAAACTATCAAATATTTCCTACCTACTTTCCTACCTACTATCAAACTATCAAATATT